GTTGTCTCCTTATTAAGGTTTTAAAACAAAATTGGGTGAAAATTTGTTTTAATCTGTTATGTCTGAAGATACAGTTTCTAAGGAGAGAACGGGTGAGACCGAACTGCACATGGCACACGGAGCTGTGAAGCCTGGCGTCACCACACGCCTTGTTTGGAGCTTGTTTCATTTTGAGGCCTTACAGCCCCGTGGGCTGCTGGTCAGCCCACAGCACGGAACACAGCAGACGGGCAACTTCATGTGTGGTGCTTTTCATTCACCAAGTGTGGTTGTTAAGTGGCGCCTGGTACCAAACTCCTCCTGGTCAGCTTCCGCTGTGTGACAGAAGCAGGTGATGCCGCCATGATAGCGGCTGCACTGGCCAGGCGGGGTTGTTTGGGCATGTCTGCTTCCGGGAGGTGGGAGCTGTGGGGCTCCACATGAGGAGAGGACAGTGCTGTGCACAGGGAGGGGAGGACCCCTGCCCTGACTCCTAGGAAATGCACGCAGGCTGCAGACTGGGCCTTGAAGTCAGGCTGCGGGGCTCCCTGACTTGAGTGGGTAGAGAAAGCTCTCTGCAAACATGGTCCTGGGTGCTATAGAGATCCTGTCCTGGGACTGCTCCGCTATGAGAGGAGATCGCTTGTGAGCAGAGCGAAAACACCCCCAGACCCAGCAAGTGTCTCTGAAAGGCCTAGGAAACCAAAATGAGTGTAAGGGAGGTGCGTGCGTGCGTGTGTGTGTGTGTGTGTGTGTGTGTGTGTGTGTGTGTGTGTGTTGCCTGTGTTACGTGTGTGGTCAGCCACACCTGCAGGTCCCAACACTACAATAGAACTGATAGGTGGGGGTGTGTCCCTTCAGCCTGCCTTCCCACTTCTGGAGGAAGTGTGACAGTCACAGGCTCAGCTGGAAAAGTCACAGACTTCAGGCCTGAAACGCTTTGGAGGGACTGGCCATGGTAGTGGCTTTGAACAGTGAGGACCTAGCTGAGAAGGAGGAGAAGGATGGTTGTCAGAAAGAGGCTGGTGGCTAGAGTGTCTTGTCAGGAGGGGTGAGAAGCATTGGCCTTCCTTTCGGAGCCTTTGGAGATCACCCAAAACAAGACCATGTATGTTGTGTTTTTATCTCGGAGGATAAATGCCCTGCACTAGGTGCTGGGAGGCAGTTATAGAGGGCTGTTCCACCAGTCACCCCCGAGGGGCTTCTCCATCTGGGCTCCTAACCCCCAGAGCTAGTATTGTAATTAGGGGATCCTGTCTCACTGGGCAGCCTCCCACACACTCCTGAACCCTTGCTGAGTGGGCTCTGCCTCCTCGGAGTCCAGGTTAAGCTAGGGCACTGATGTGATCGACATGCTGCTAGTGCCTAGTGGTGGCGGGACTCTGGGGACATCCACTTCTCAGAAGCTTACAATTGTCCAGAGTCCCCTGTGGTCCTGGGTGGTCTATCTTCATCAGTGGGAGTGTTGGCCTGCGTTCACTCAGCTCAGACCTCACATTCATCTGTCAAAACGTATTACTGAGACATCCCACCAGACTGGTGCCCTTCTTAGCCAGTCCCCCGCCCTAAATGGAGTCCCCCAGTTTCTCTCCTGCCTCTTCACTCCTCGTCTCTATCTACCCCATTCCTTTTCCTGCACCTGGACTTCACCTCCCCGAACACAGGGAAGCTCCTGGCACTCTTCCAGGTCTGGGCCCCACTCTGCCAGCTGCAGCTAGAGCACAGTGTACACAAGAGGCTCGGTATGGCTGTGTGTGGGTAACACCAGCTCTCAGTTTCTGAGGATGGCGCCCCCTAGACACAGAGGGCTCTGAGTCAGGTCACTCTGCTGGTGACCCGGAAGCCCTTGCGCTCGGGTTACTGTAACAGGACAGCCTGGGCTGCACAATGGAGTCCACTCTGTGGCCTCACTGTCATGGCCCTTGGAAGTCTGAGATGGAGATGCTGCAGTATCAAGGCTGGGTTCTCCTGTGGCTTCTCTCTCTCTCTCTCCTGTGGCTTCTCTCTTTGGCATCATCTCCTTATGGTTTACCTGGTTTTCTGTCTGCATTCGTGGCCTGGTTCCTTGCTCTAAAGACACCAGTCTTGTTGAATTAGAACTCACCCTAATGGCCTCATTTTAACTAAACTCTTTCTAAGATCCTATATCCAATTGCAATCCTATTACAAAGTACTGGGGATTAGGTCTTCAGCATACGAATTTTGGAGAGAACACAACGTGGTCTGTAACACCTGCTGTGTGGCTGTGGATAAGTTTACTACCCTCTCTGTGCTTCAGTGTCTTTCGTTACAACACAGGAACAGCGTTTAAAGAGGTTCTTGTAAAGCTGAAGTTGGAGAACAGAGCTGTGGGCTTTGAACAGGTGTTTCCTCAATAAATTCTTCACAAACTCCATGACCTTGGACTTCTATTTTATGTGTTGTTGGCACCTCAATCTTTTTCATTACAAATGTTGTAAATTGTTTCAAAGGAGTTGTGCTCTCCAGAGCTCTGCAGAAATAGCTATTTTAAAATGATAGGACTGCATCACGCCCTTTTGTATTTTGATTTTGATCACCAGCCCTGTTTATTTTAAGCATCCTATGAAGGAAAAAAAAAAAAAAAGCACCCATTGAAGTGGGGGTGGGGAAGGCCTCGCACACCTCGCACAGAAGCCTCGGCTGTTAGGGCCATCATCTGGTCCGTCTACCTCTCCTTTTCTCTTCGTCCACCTGCCCCACAGAGTTTTGTCCTGCTTGCTCACAGCTGTAGAGCTGAGCGACTGTGGTGCTTACCTGCATGCGTGTGCACATGCGCACAAATGTGAGTTCACAACTCTCCATTCCCTTCTCTCTGGGTCTGAGTGTTAAAATGCTGTTAGAAGATCAAATTATCAATACTTCACAATTAACAGTATTTGGGAAGATTACTGTAAAATGAACAACAATAACATAAATAGATCATTTGTTTAGATAAATAATTAATAAGCATAACGTAACATTTTATTGAAAGTGCACTTGTATTGAAATAGATTTTTATTTTTACTTTATATATCCTCACATGTAAATGAGAAGATGAGAACTCAGAATTTGCTTAGGGGTATAGTTCTCCCTCAATCGTGTTCCTGTTTTCTTAATAAACGTGAGCTTGGGAATTTCACCTTCAATACAAAAGAAGGCAAGTTTAGATGGTGTTTTCATATGCTACTCAATACCAAGCACAGCTTTTGAATTATATATGTAAAGAGTTAAATAATGATCTAGCATCAAAGATGCTGTTTAATATGCTGCCAGCTGACACCTGGATCCGCTCATTATTCAATCCTTGTTGGAAGCAAAACATTGCAAATTCCATCCTCCTGAGCTTTAGCTACTAAGCTGGGAGTTATTCGGAGTCTCAGTGGACACGAATGCTTCATGTCAGTTCATGTGTGCTGCTCCCTATGTCAGGGGTCCGTGATGTAAGTCCCACTGAGTAGACAGCATCCCTTGGCTTTGTGAAGTGGAAAAGGTGCTGTTATAAGCAGAGAATAAAAATAACATAGTCAGATCTCAGACACATTGCAAGAGAACCAAGAAATTGATTCCTTTCTGACCCAAGAATGTTGTTTTGGATATGCAAACCAAATACTAAAGTCCATTGACCCATATGAAGTTTACAATACTGTCACAAATATGCATGTTCAGTACACACTATGTTGCTATTGTTGTATCCATAAACCATCTAGCCCACAGTAGGTGCTCAGTAAATGGAGTGCAGGAAGGGTTTAGACATTAGTAGAGAGCTGGTTTATATATCTTTTTAGCTCTCCCACGCTGGCAGTCCTGCTCTGGACCTTGCACTGGCTAACTGTGCAACAGATCATCCCAAACACAAGAGCATGAAACAACCGTTTTATCTGCTCATCCACAGGTTGGCAGTTGAGACTGAGCTCAGCTGAGCAGTTCTGCTGCTGCTCTCAGCCAGAGTCATTCATGCAGCTACAGTCGGATGGGGGATCAGTTGGGGCTGGCTGTTCTGGGACCTCAACTACCATGGCCAAGGCCTTCTCCATGGGGACTCATATTCCAGTGGACCCACAGAATAATTGACAGCAGAAGGGTTTCCTGTCACAAGCCTCAGATATGGCACTTTTTATGCCTCTACTTGTGGCACATTGGCTAATGTCCCTTGGATCTAAGCAAGTCATGTGGCCAAGTTCTATTTAGTATGAGGTAGGAGAAGTTATACATAGATATAAACAGATGCAAGGAGGTGGGATTCGCTGGGACTGGCCATATAAAGATTTGCCCCGCAACTCAGGATTCCCCAGGCTGTTTCGGCATTCCTCTGTTGAGGTAACCTCAGCTTCAAGTCTTAGATCAGACACATTCTGGATTAGGGGCCCATGTATTCTAATTTTTCCATGATAGATAGAAGTTTGCCTCAAGGAGAACCATTGTAGAAAGATACCTTGCTACAAGGCTTGTTTCTTAGGGACATCTTCTTGTTTTATGCTTGTTTGAAGCAGAGTCACACTGTAGAGCCCAAGGCTAGTCTTGATTAAGATCCTCCTTCCTCAGCCCTCCAAGTGCTGCACCATCATATCTGAATATGTAAGGAGCTCTTTTGAGATCATTAAAGAACACTAACTGAAGAATGAAAGCCTATTTCACAGTGAAAAGGTTATAAGGAGAGATAGTCTGACCCATCTGGTCCAAAAAGTTGTTTTCATGACCCAGAGCTCACAAGTTGGAGGACTTTACCACCCCAGGACCCTTTAGCATAGAATACAACTTAACTTGTCTTGGCCAAAGATGAATATTATGATGTCTGGGGTATGTGGCTTCATATCTGATGTACAGTCCAGAACTGAAATCATATCAAGTCATTGGGGTGCCCTCTGATGTCTCTGCCATGATTTCACCCAAACGTTGCAGGCAAGAAGCCCCAAAAGTTGGCTGGTGCAGCCCTAATAACTGAGCAAGATCTGGGTCCCTGCCTTTCAGGTAATGCCAAACTAACCTGTATTTACCAATTATTATTCTTTTTCTTTTCACAGTGAGACATTATTTGGTGAAATGTCCTCAGAACAGGTAGGAATATTTTCTTTGTTATTTCTCTTTGATACTTCTTTCTTTTTATAATACCAAGAAGTTGATTAAATACATATTCTTACTAAAAGATGTTGGTCACAAGAAACAATGTATGTTTTGCATATGTTTGCAAGTTGAATAGTCCACAAGCCAGTCATAATCTCCATAGGGTACAGATGGCGTGCAGCTCCTATGGGTTGAGCCTGTATCTTTGAGGGGCTTGAAAAGTGTCCTGTAGGACCATGTGGGAACTTATGACTGGTCTGAGCCAACTCAGTACCTTCTCACCAGTAACTAATCTTTTCTCCACATGTACTGACTTGGCCTATGTTCTACTTTAGCTGGTGACAGGCCTCATTAGGAATATAGCAGTTTTAAGGTATCTTAAAACTTCAAATTCATAACATTTAAGATTTTCAGACTTCTAACTTTAAAAAAAATATCAATGAGACACAGAGCCTCTTATTAGAATGCTATTAAAATTTCCTAATGACAGTGAAAACACAAAAATCATAACTAAAGTGAAGAGAGATAATTGACCAGATCAGCATGGAGGTTAATCAGGTATTGGAATGACCTGATAAGAATTTTAAACCAGATATCATCAATCTGTTTAATCAACTGAAAAATGAAAACTCTGTTGAAAGCAAATGGTAAATAAAAATGCCACCCAACAGAGAAAAAGTAGAAAGTATAAAACTGAGAAAATATAGTAACAAATGCAATTTTTTAAAATATTTGTTTATTATGTATACAGTGTTCTGCCTGCATTTATGCCTGTAGGCCAGAAGAGGGTGCCAGATCTCATTACAGATGGTTGTGAGCCACCATGTGGTTGCTGGGAATTGAACTCAGGACCTCTGGAAGATCAGCCAGTGCTCTTAACCACTGAGACATCTCTCTAACCCCCATGAGCCATCTCTTCAGCCCCCACAAATGCCAATCTTATTGAATAGACTCAATAATAGGGTGACAATGTCAGTAGGTAATTGGTAAAAAGGAAAGACGGAGCAATTGAATCATACATGTAAACCACAGATACAAACAGACTGAAAAACTGATGAACAGCTAGTTCTCAGGGACCTGGAGCAAGGGTAATTCCTACCATCAGGTTACAGAAGTAGAATGAAATCCAGAGGAGCTGATCATTATTTATTTATTAGAAGGAATAATAGCTGAACACTTCTTAAATTTTTCAGAAGAAAAAAGATTCATAGATTCAAAAATGTTAATTCCAACCATGGTGGGTATACTGAAATCTACATGCAGACACAGCACAATTAAACAGATGAACTTGAATAGAGGTGCACTCTCTGAATCCAAGGACAGAAAGAAATGGTGTTCTTCTTGTAATCTGAAAGAACGGCACCCAGAAATTCTATGTCGAGCAGAACTGTCTTTCAAGAATGAAGGAGTAAGAAAGACATTTTCAAATTTAGGAAAACTTAAATAATTTGTTGATAGATCACTGTAAGTAGGGCTAACAATCACCTACTTGAAAAATCACTTCTAAAAAAAAAATTCTTGAACCCAAAATGAAAGCCACCTTTAGTAATTAAAAAGGAAGGAACAACTTGAAAAATGAGTATATTTTTATTAATTCACTGAGAATTTCGTACATGTCTACAATATATTTTGATCACATTCACCCTCCATTCCTCCCCTAACTCCACCAAGATCCACTCATTTTTAGACAACATCATGTGAATACTCATGAATTTAAAAAATCATGTCTGATGATTGAAACAAAAAAAATTTGATTCTCAATGAAATTTCAAAGTTAGGAAGATGGATAGATCTCATAGGAAAGGGATCGCTACTCCTCATTTGGTGAGGGAATGTCAGCAACAGTAGACAGTGGTTGGTCACACACATATATTGCAATTCCAAAGCAACTACTAAAAGAACTCTATCCCTAACACTTAAAAAAAACTACAGAAAAATCAAGATAATCCTTCTAGTATATTCAAGTCACTTAAAGAAATAGAATAAAGAGAACCCTAGGAAAGGAGGAGAAAATAAATAAAAAATTGCTTCCACACCACCTGTCTCAAACTGGTTTAAATACATCGGTTGAGTCACAGAGCGTGGGGTAGTAAATAACTATGTGTCCCAACTGTAGTCTGTGTACAAGAAACTCACTTCATGCACATGACATAGGCGGAGTGAAAGGAAACGGGTGGAAGAAGAGAGAGCACGCCGTCAACAGTCTGTGTGCATACACTGCACATCTCACAGAGGAAAACACTTAGCAGGGCTTGGATGGGACATTAGAGGGTAAAATGACCAACTCACCTGGAAAACAAAGGTCCTAAATAGTCTATGCATTAAACAACAAAGACACAGAGCCCGAATAGCCAACACTGAAGAGCTGAAGGAAGACTGGAAAATCCATGGTGATTTTTAGCAACCAATAGGCTTGGCTTAGGTCCTCGATCCTAGGTCACTGAAGACATAAATCATGCTGTCAAACAACAGGACTCAGCTGATCCATCTCCAGCAGTCAACTTATGGAAGAGCACTTTTTGTTCATATCCTCATGAAATATTCGCCAAGATATATTCTAGGCTGAGATAAACCTCAACAGCTCAAAAGGACTTGGAATCGTAGAGTGTAATCTTCGACTACGGTGAATCATAGTTGAAGGCAACAGTGAGACAGCAGCAGGAAAATCTCTAAACATGGAACCAGGAAGCACCATGCTTTTGTTTAAAGTCACAAGCTGAGTCTCGGCAGCACAGGGCCAGTGCAAACACAGGTCCAGTCACCAGGGAAGCATGCGCGGTACAGAGATTGGAGCATACATGGGGTCCAGAAGGAATTGTCCTTGTGACACATTGAGCTCCGACGAGTGCAGGACAGTTCTGAATAGAAGGCATGCACTTTTCATCAAGTGGTGTGTACTCCACAGACATCGCAGACAGAAACATGGACTGACACCCCTTTTCTCGCAGCATTGGCAAACACAATTAAAGAGACTTAGTCTGAAGTATAAAAGCTAAAACTATAACATTTCTCAGAGAAAATTCTCGTGTCCTTGGATTGCATAAAGTGACACTGTGCAAGATTCATAAATGAAAGACTGACAAAAATTTAGTTCCAAAACCACAATTACAAAAATGGAAAAACAAGCCATCGAATAGAAAATATCTGCAAATCAGAGGAACCTGTTTCCAGATATAAGGTTCTTCCAACTGGATAATGAGATGACAAATAGCACAATTAAAATAGGCAAGAGTGATTTGAACAGGTATTTCCCTAAAGAAGATATACCCGGGCCTCATAAATACATGGAAAGATGCCCAATATCTTTAGTCATTAATTAGGGAAATGCAAATTAAATAATAATGATTCAAGCACACCCTAACCGTAATTGCCTACAATCCAAGAGACAGATATGCCAAGTATTGGCATGCATATGGAGAAACTGGATCAATGTACACTGCTGAATGGAGCCCCCAACGGGGAATACAGCTCGGTAGTTTCTTAAGGTGTGACTCTTAATATGACCCACAAATTGTACTTGTAGGGATCTACCCAAGTGGAATGAGAGCATATGCCTACTCAAAGACCTGTGTGGAATTGTTCTCAACTGCTCTATTAATAATAACCAGAAACTGGAGACAATCCAAATGTGTTCACCAGCCGGTGAGAGAGGAAACAAAATGCAGCAGATCCATCCAAAAAAGTTCTACTTGGCAATGCAACAGACCATGGAAATAGGCCATTCTCAAAACACCACAAAGTGAAAGAAACCAGGTGCAAAATTTACAGTTTGGTGCTATTTTAATGAAATGTCTAGAAAAGGAAGATTTATGGAGATAGAAAACAGAGCAATGTTTGCTTATAGCTGAGGTTGAGCGTGGGGATTAATTTTGGATGTGATTAATGTGGAATGGTCTAAACGCAGAACTTCCAGCACTATGATTGCAATGTCCTAAAACTGTATTGTACTGATGATCACACAACTTGTAGGTCTATAAAAATCTACTGGATTGTTTATTATGAGCTACAAGTTGTATTTGGAAATCAATTATGCCTCACCAAAGCTGCCTGTTTTTTTCTTAAGACCACACCCACTCACACTAGGACTAGGGTGAATCAGGCATGTCTTTTGGAGAGAGGTTTATAGCTGGGCCATTCATGCTTGTCCAGAGGTTACCCAGCCTACCATTCTCCCTTGATTCCTGGGATACCTGGCTCTGCTTCGTGGGGATCTTGCAGCTCCTCCTGTCTTGGGTCCTCTCTACTCCTCATTACCCTCCCCTACAGCAGTCACATTCTAAATTGAGACTGCTGGGTCGAGGAGGAGAGCAAGGATGTCATCCTAGTTTGGTAGACACTAGAGTTTGGTTTCCTCTAGCCCTGGGATATACAAGTGTATTAGTCATTGTTCCATTGCTGTGACAAAATACTCGAAAAAACCGACTTTAAACGGGGGAAAGGCTCCTTTTTGGTACTGTGGCTTTGGAGTCTGTGGCAAGGCAGCACATTACAGCAGAGACTATGGTAGAGCAAACCATTTCCTCCCATGGTGGCAAGGAAGGAGGGGGAGAGAGAGAGAGAGAGAGAGAGAGAGAGAGAGAGAGAGAGAGAGAGAGAGAGAGAAGGGAGGAGTAGGGAAGTCTTGGTTTGTTTTGCTTTGATGAAATACCCCAACCAAAGAAATTTAGAGGAGTGTACTATGGTCTACAGTCTAGAGGGGACACAGTCCTCCTGGGGAAGGCATGGTGGCAGAAGCATGAGGCCAGTCTGTCACACTGGGTCAGCAATTCAAAGGCAGAGAGAGGAGAGAAAGTTGGGCCAGGTTATAAAACCTCAAAGCCTGCCCCCAGTGATGTATACTCTCCTGCAAGGCCCCATCTCCTAAAGGTTCATAACCTTCCTGAACAGCGCCACCATCTGGAGACAACGCGTTCAAACATGTAGGCTGTGAGGGTCATTTCACATTTAAGCCATGACCAAATTCCAATGTCCTCTTCCTGGGTGTGTCCCTAGTG